ATTATTGTTTTATTGTTATTGTTATTTGTTGTATTGATGTTATTTGAATTTATTTATAATTATGTTTATATAAGAGTTGAAAAATATTTATGATATTATTGTTATTATTCTTTGTTGTATTATAATATGAAATGATTTCATAATTATGTTTAGAAACATCTACTTATCTAACTGAAACAATACTTATACATCATTAATACTTGAATGATTTTTTTTAAATTACTATTATTCATAATATAAAATGATTTTTATAATTATGTTTAGAAACCAGCGTGCTGCAGTTCTTCGGTGACGATTTCCTGCGATTACTATTGGTACGTTACGTCTTTTGTGACGTGGTACTTCATCTTCATCGTTCGTTTAGAGGACGTCAACAAAGACCTCGATGTTATCCGGCATTACCTGACGCCGAAATTCTTGAAAATCGTACTTTACGTCATCTTGTATTCGAACTGGCCAGTTGCCTTGATGCTCGCGAACATTTTCCTGACGGACACGAACTCGCCTGACCCAGGCATTTTTCTTCTTGTCCGCCATCTAACGACGATACTACGTCGTATTTACAGTCATCATACCAATGCGATTACGATTACGATTACGATTACGATTACTGTAATTACAATTACAACAATAAAATCGTTACATTGAGACCTCATTAAACCGCGTCTTGGCAGTAATCGTGTAATTACGCAATTACGTATTTCCACATTACTATGCCTTCAAAAACTACTATTTTTTTCCTTTTTTTTTGTTTTTTACTGTATTTTGTTTTTTGTTTTCTATGTCTAAAGTAGATACGAGAAAATTGAACTTTCTTTTTTCTTTTTAATTTTATTTTAATTTTGGTTTTTTTTTATTTTTCCTGTATTTTGTGTTTTATGTAATTTTATTTTTATTTTATTTTTTTACTGTATTTTGTATTTTATGTAATTTTAGTTTTATTTTATTTTTTTACTGTATTTTGTGTTTTATGTAATTTTATTTTTATTTTATTTTTTTTTTACTGTATTTTGTATTTTATGTAATTTTATTTTGATTTTATTTTATTTTACTGTATTTTGTATTTTATGTAATTTTATTTTTATTTTATTTTTTTACTGTATTTTGTATTTCATTTAATTTTATTTTTATTTTATTTTTTTTTACTGTATTTTGTATTACATTTAATTTTCTTTTTCTTTTATATTTTTTATTACTTAATTCAAAAAAGACTACGTTAGTAATTTTAGTATTAAAAATAACGTATGATTATTATTCTTAAAAGCACTTCTGAGTCAAGTCGTCAGAACTTCCGTCTACAAAACTCTAAGAATACGCGAGATATTTCGTATAAAATGGTTGGGAGGGCGGGAAGGTACGTACAAACGTACTTAGAAATATTTTTACATGAAGAAGAAGAAGAAGAAGAAGAAGAAGAAAAAGAAGAAAAAAAAACCTATCGAATACAATTTGTTCGTATAAAACTTTATTCGGTGGTGGGGAAATGGTGGGAGGAAAATAAGTTTGAAAATTTTGTCGTTTAACGTACTCGACTTCATTTTTGCAGTACTAGAAACTAAAAAAAAAGAAAAAAGAAATAACCTCACTTATAAGTATAAATATATATTTTTGACATTCTAGAAAAAAATGGCGTGGTAGTGAGGGAGGGAGAAATAAGTTTGAAAAATTATGTCGTTTAGTGTACTCGACTTGATTTTTGCAATACTAAATATTAAAATAAGAAAAATAATAATCTCGTTCGATAAATATAAATATATATATATATATATTTTTGAAATTCTAAAAAAAAAAATATGAAACTCGTGTTATTTAAATCTAATTTCATTTTTCAAATATTAAAATGATTAAAAAATAATTGAAACATTATTCATACGATTAGAATATTTAAAATTGAAACGTAGGAATGAAAAATCCAATATTGTTTTACAGGTTATGTTATTATTTAATTTAATTTTATTTTGCAAATGAATATAATAAAAAGATTATTAACAAACGCGATTAACATACAATTAGAATATTTAAAATTGAAAATTAGGAATGAAAAATCCAATATTGTTTTATAGGTTATGTTATGATTTAATCTAATTTTATTTATAAAAGAAAATTAATATTATTAAAAAATTATTAACAAACGTAATTCATACGATTAGAATATTTAAAATTGAAACGTAGGAACTAAAAATCCAATATTGTGTTATAGGTTATGTTATTATTTAATTTAATTGTATTTTTCAAATTTATTAATATTAATTAATATTACAAATTTATTAACACATGATTTTCATACGATTAAAAATATTTAAATCAAGCATCCTAATGAATAATTCTACGTTAAAAATCAAATTTCATTAATTAGTTTAAAATATTAAACAAATATTTTATACCCTCTTAAAAATCAGATTTAAAAAACGTTAAAAAAAAAAAAGTTCTCTGATATTTAATAATAATAATAATAATAAAAAAAAAGGTGTTATTCTCAAGACTAACGTCCAAACATCTACGATTCAAACGTGCGTATTCAACTGTGAGTTATTTATATACAAAAAGTGGAACAAGCTACGAAGATAACTACATTTATTGACTCGAACTAACCGATCCGAGTACTATTATACTCACTTCGTGAATATTTATTCTTTAAATCAGTAACACGAATCTACATTCATTTCTTTTTAAATTCTGACCGTTAATTAATCGATACAATATTTGTCATTTAAAAAAATAATCACATACCGTGTATATAATTAATTATTAGATCGTAGCTACGAGTACTAAGTAACTTCCGTTTTTTATGAGACAAAGAAATGGCATTTCTGCGACTGATTAGTGCAGGACACTTTTCATGAAGTTTTTTTTGCACTCTTTGCATCTGTTGGACATATCTATTGGATTTTGTTTCAATATTACCTTTAAAAGGTTCGTCAATGTCGGAAATACGTTCCTGCACTCGGTTCATCTTTTAAGGTCGTATCTACAGAACGAAATTTTTTGTTGAAGCATTGCATGTCAAATATGCACTTTTTACTATCCATTTGAGAGGTTAAGAAAAATGGTTAAATGTGACATTGATTAAATCAAAAAATTAACAGAAGATTAACTGAATCCTCATTTATACAGTGATATCAAAAATCTATTTGTTTCATTGACTTATAGTTGGTAAATACGAAAAATAGATTTTACGTAGCCCCATCGGAAGTTACTTAAGAATCGACTTAGTATGAATTAATTTGGTTTAAAGTGAAAATAAAAAAATACGAGACAATAAGAAGATGAAGAAGAAGAAGGAGGAGGAGGAGGAGGAGGAGGAGGAGGAATATCAAAGCAGACAACGATGCCATTCCCAGATGTTAGCCGTTACTAGTGGACTATTTTTAGTTTTTCCTATATAGAAAAGCATTAAGAGCATCTTCTCGGTATGACAACTTTGTTTGTTCCAATTAGAATTCTTAATCGTTACAAAAGTCAATGTATTATAATTGACACTAATGAGAAGAGGATCGTTTGGATTTCAAACAATACAAAACAACAATAACAACAACACAACAACACTAAGAACAAAAAGAAATCAATTGAAAGAAGAAAATCGATTTGTACTTTTAACAGTAGTCATCGTTAAACAGCTGCAACACGTGAAGAAAAAATAAACAAAAAACGATTTTACATTCAATGTCTCGCTTGAATAAAATATTACTACTTAACTAACGGTTTTTTTTGTTTTGAATTTACGCGGGAAAATACGAAATATCTCGATAAAATGGTGTACATAATATTACAGTGAACGTAAAGTTTTGGGTACACATTTTATTGTATTATAAATACAATAAAACAGTGTTATTTATTTTTTTTTTTTTATAAAATTTACATTGAAAATATTAATATAAGAAACAAAAAACACTAACGAATTTTAGGTTAACTTTAATACAAACGACATGAAAAACTTGTATTAGTTAGTAGAAAGATACTAAGACAAGTAAGAGTTTTATTTTAGGTTAGCTTTAACACAAAGACTATGAAAAATTTTTTATTGGTTAGAAAGATTAATCAGGAATAGGGTGGGGGGTAAAACAAAAATAGAAATAATTTAAAACGTAATAATAAATATTATTATCAATTGATATGCAACAAAAATACTAAGACAGGTAAGCATTAATTTTAGGTTAAGCTTAATATGAACACCATAAACAATTTTTATTGGTTACTAGAAAGATTATTGGAGGATGAGTTGGGGAGGGGGGAAATAGAAATAATTTAAAACATAATGGTGGAGATAATCATCAAGTGATATGGAACAAAAATACTAAGACAGTATTAATGCATAAACATTAATTTTACGTTAACCTTAATACAAACACCATAAAAAATTTTTTATTGGTTAGAAGAAAGATTAATCAATGTTGGAGTGGGGGTAAAAAAAAATAGAAATAATTTAAAACGTAATAATAAATATTATTATCAATTGATGTGCAACAAAAATACTAAGACAGGTAAGCGTTAACTTTAACTTCAATACAACACAATAAAAATATAACCTAATGCAAACACCATAAAAAATTTGTTATTGCAATATAGCAAGGGGTGAGGTGGGGAGGAAAGGAAGGTAGAAAAAAAAATAGAAATAATTCAGAACTTAATAGCAAATATTATCATCAAGTGGTATGCAACAAAAATACTAAGACAGGTGTAAGCATTAACTTTAAGTTCAATACAACACAATAAAAATCCAACCTAATACAAACACCATAAAAAATTTGCTATTGGTTACTAGAAAGATTCATCGGTGATGGGGTTAGGGTTGGGGAGGAGAAACAAAATAGAAATAATTGAGAACGTAGTAGTAGATATTATCGTCAGGTGGTATGCAACAAAAATACTAAGGACAGGTAAGCGCGGTATAGTTCTTATATCTAAATGCTTTGATGCGTGTTATAGAAAATTTCTATAAATAATTCAAATGTCCTCTTTGGTTTCGCGATTGCGTACGTGTAACGTAGAATACTCGGAGAGTGTACAGAGAAAGAGGAGTCATCAAGTTGGCGTTGCAGCAGACTGCTGCTCTTGCATTGGCATATTTCTCTTCTCTCTCTCTCTCTCTCTCTCTCTTTCACACACACTCTCTATTTCTTCTCTCTTTTTTCGTCTCTTCCAGAGTAGAGAGTGAAAATCGTAGTAGTGGTGGATGGTGGTGATGGGTGGTGATGGTTAAAAAATTAATATGGCGTTGATGTCGTGAAAGTAAAATCCTTGAAACAACAACCTCAAAGTTTTTCACTAGGTTTTGCATTAGGATTCAGGATAAACGAAATAAACACGAATCGTTGAGTTTCAACACGAGTTGAGTTATCTCTGGGGTTGGTGTTACATCCCAGAGATTTGAGGAAAGTGAAACGAGAGGAAGAAAAGGAGAAACAGGAGAGAGAGAGAGAGAGAGAGAGAGAGAGAGAGAGAGAGAGAGAAGAAAAATACTGGAGTAGGTTCATTGGTTGAGTTTGATTCATTGGTTCATGAGGTGAAGTGAGGTGGGAGTTGGGGTTGGGGGGTGGGGGTTGGAGGATCATGCAGGGAGAGCAACTTAGAGGACGCACCTCGCGAGCGTCATCGACTTCCAGCCTCGGACGTGAGGTTCGTTGTGGTTGTCAATATTATCAAAGTGATTCATTATTACCGGAACGTCAAGCAAGAATTGGGAGACCATCTTCCAGGACGGGAGGAATGCAAGAATTACCACCATCTTCTAGGTTACCATGCAGGTTAGTTCATTTTTAATAATCCTATATATATCCACACCACCATTATCATCATCATCATCATCATCACTATCTACCACCACCACCACCACCACCACAAGTGTCGAGGAGGAGGAACGAAATCAACGTCGTGAGATTCCTCCCAATCCACCGTGGTGGTTGGTTGGCTGGCTGGCTGGCTGGCTGGTTACGGCATTCGAGAACCATTGCAAATTCCCGCGTCTATTTAAGGTTCGGCCAGCTATCTATAGATAGAATCCACGTATCAGCTCCCGGGTTTTCCTCGACTGGTGTCGTGTCCGGTCCGGTCCGGTCCGGTCCAGTCATCCGTCTAATCCGCGCGTTTAGTTGACTCGTAACATCACCTAAATTACACCTAGATCGCGCCCGGATCGCGGATTTACCGCTTTGCGGGACAACGTGTGTGTGTGTGTGGTGGTCCCCTTTTTTTCGCGCGTAACCACGCGGGTTAAACCCACTCGAACGAACGAAATCGATCGATCAATCGATCGATCGATTAAACTAACGGGGATTTAAATGTTACCTAAGAAAACAAAGGGAATTAGATTTTTGGGTGATCAACGGAAAAATCTGCAACACGATCGGTAAGATTTTGTTTTGATGATCTAACCTAAAAAATATTATTAGAATAAACCAAATTTGAAAATATTAACAGGGTTCCATGCCACGTGTACCATTTATGGTACACGTTAAACTTGACCATCAGGCCACGTGTACCATAAATGGTACACACAGACCATATTCATGTAATGTACTGAAAATCAAATGACCTGTACGACGAGTTGAACAAAAATGGGCTTAGCAAGGAACGTATTAATTGAAAAAAATATACAGGGACTTTTTTGGGGTTCACTTTACTCACAATACTTTATCAATCATTTGTTAATAATAATAATCTAATTAAATGTTGTGTTGTCAAAACAGCGAGCATGAGTATGAACCAATCGGAGCACCACCATTGGTTACATTACATCATCCGGTGACGGCACCAGTTGTACAGATCATCGACACGGACGTAGTGCCCGTCGCTGACAGCGACGACAGCATCGACGAAAGAGGCCTTTTGCCATCCAGATTGATCCTAGGCGGTGATGTCATTCTACCCTTGGATGGTAGAATCGAAGATGTCGCTATGGAAGGACAAGAACTTGGTGAAACTATTGGTGATACGTCCGAGGAACAAGACAGTCCCCAACAAATTCAAGAAAGATTGGAAGAACGTTATTTGAGTACCCCTAGCCCTGTCATTGTCCCCCCTACCCCGACCACTGTCACCACCACAACAACTCCTGGCGCCGAGTCTAGAACTGATGACGAAGTCAACACCAATCAGGTTTTGTCATCTTTATATTCTATTTTGTTTTTTTTATTTGTTTGTTCTGTCTATCTATCTCATCATGTGTGTGTGTGTGTGTGTGTGTTCCACCATCTTGTGAAAGATTATATTTAGATGAACAATAGTATATCATAGATCTTTATATATTATGCAACATTGTTTTAAACTCAATCTTCAGTTCTAGTAAATTTATCTTTTGACTTTTATCTTTAGTTAGAATAAATTGTTTGATGATTGTTCGTTTTAATTATCTGATAGATATCAGATGAATATGATAAATCAATTTTTATTTATCTGTGATTTAAATAACCAGATTTATATTAAGACATTTCTAAAAAAAAAAGTTATGATTTTTTGGTTTCCTCATTTTATTTCATACAAATATAACCGTATGAAAAAGATGATTTATTTCGTAACTGTTCCAAATGTCAAACCCACGACTACTTGACGTGTTCACGTAGGATCTAACAAGTTAGGCCAACCATATGTTAAACGATATCAAATGACTCGTTCGATATATTTTCGAAGTTTGGCAGATCACTATTCTTGTTAAAACTCAACAACCTACGTGCATGTATGTATATATGTCTGTATGTATGTAACCACATGTTAACATGTTGAACACCCAGCGTGAACGGATGAATTTTCCCCCGCGCCATTAAAATGGCTTTCGCGAATAACATCTTTTAAAATATATCGTACCTAATTTTATTATTAATTATTAAAGTAAATTGTCACTCGTTTATGAATGACGGGGCCCCTTGTAAAACATAGTCGTCACTGTTAAGTTAGATATAGGTGGCGTGACAATCAAAGTGTTAAATTTTGAACTTCATTTTTTTCAGATGGACTCATCGGCGTTGGAGGAGTCACCTTTACGCCGTGATTCTAGAACGATACCGCAACGTTTGAAAAGTCAAGCGGGTAAATTGAGTTCACGGTTGAGGGGTATACAAAAACCAAATTTTTCTTTTACAAAACGAAAACAAAAATCTGAAAAGACTAGGACTACGACTACGACTACTACGAGTAGTGGAAAATCGGATAAATCTAGAACAGATAAAAAAGTACCTAGCAGAATGGACAGGATAAGATCGTCGTTTTCAGAACGTCCACGTTTCAGTTTACCAGATCGTCCAAAGTTTAATTTCCCTGATCGTTCAAAATTACGTTTACCGGACAAATCGAAATTTCGTTTTCCGGAAAAAGCTAAATTCAGTATGAAACGTCCTAACATAAGTTTGCCTAACGCGTTAAAACGTAAAACTTTGAAAAAAACTTCTTCAAAGGAACAACAGCAACAACAACGTTCAACCGATTCAACGATTGGTGACTCGCGTAGAAATATTTTTGATTTTTCAACGTATCCCCGTATATTCGAAAAAAAATCGAAAAAACGCCATGACGATGATGACGATTACGCGGCAACGTCATCACCAAAAGATTCCCGTGGACAATCGCAAGAGAGTGCAACCTTTCCACGTGTTAGAAAATCTTATCCATCGACTACGGCAAGTTGGGCGATTAGATTCGGTGAGCCAACATTTGACGAACTGGACCACGATGAAATTGCCAGTGCAGCTGAAAGAATGCGTCCTTGGCGTCATCCATCGTTGGAAGAACCCAGAAGATCATTGATGTTGGAAGAGAAAGACACATTGGCAGCACGTATCTCATGGGAAAAATCTCAGAAAAAGGATAAACCTAGAAAACCTGGTAGAACAATGGAGGAAGGGGTTGAGGAAGAGGAAGAAGAATTAGAAGGGGAATTAGAAGGGGAATTAGAAGGGGAATTAGAAGAAGAAATACAGTACATGGATTATGATCCTGACTCGGTTGAAATCTCAGAAGGTAGAGAAATCAATAAGAAAGAAAAAAGGAGAGAAGATGAACAGCCACCTAGGATGGAGTCTGATTGGAGACAATCCGATGAAGAGGCAGCAGTAATCGGGGATGAGATTTTTAAGCCGGTACGTCGTACACGATCGTTGGCTGATCCAACAGTACCCTTTGAAGTTGGTACCTCATTCACTGCTGTAGATCCGAGACAGTTCGAACAAATTCAACTACCCTCGAAAGAAGAAAAAACAAAAGATGAAGAGGAAGAAATAGAAATAGAAATAGAAGAAGAGGGTTACGAAGAAGAAGAATTAGAAGAGGAATTAGAGGAATTAGAAGACCGAGATCTATCCTCAGCTCATTCTGATAGAGAACAACAACAATCTAGCGGTAGTTCGTGTGATCGTCGTCGTCGTGGTATTATTGAGGACACAGGTTCTGAGGAATATTATCCCCGTGACAATGTTCCCCAATTTGACAAATATTTCCAACCTGTCAATGCATTAGCAGATGACCTACCAATGCCAAGTATTCCTCCAAAAAGACCAGCTAGAAGATCGTTACGTAAAAGAAAAGATGATTCTGTAGAATCTTACGATGTTGTTGTACCACCAGCTAGAGTAAAAAGAGAACGGATGATTAAACGAGCTAGCGATGACATTTCTGACGATTTATATTACGAGGAACGTTCTGACAGTAGTTCCAGACATCGTGTTGTTTATCAAGCTGAATTTGATCCTAACGAATTGACCAAACCAACTGATGAACCATTGGACGATATAGTTATAGTTAAACCAGCAAGAAGAAAATCAAGATCGTCACTTAGAAGTCAATCCCAAGTACCAATGGAATCCGATATTATCTCACGAAACATCATACAAAATGGTGACGTACCTCGTCAACCACCTATCGTACCAACTAGACGAAAACGAGCTCGTGGATTGAAGATTCCAAATGGTAGAAACGAAGAACAATTGTTTCCTACGACTATGTGCAATGGTCGTAGCGACAAATGGGAAGAGAATTTATTGGCATCGTCTAGAATGGGAATAGAACCAATAAGAACTCAAGAAATTCATAATATAATCCTTAACGCACAAGAGGATGATAAAGTGTTAGGAAAAACTCATCAACCCCATGCTGATACACCGATTCCCGTTCCACCAAAGAGACGTTCCAGATCGAGGACAATCTCCTTGGCTCAGGATGATGATCGTACGTCACACGGGGCAGAATCTTTGCCAGAAGTTGATGATTATGTTCAAGAAGATATACCGCAAGACGAGACAATTCAGGATTCCATGAGAGATTTGTCAGGATATGCGTTGGTCGATAAACGTGATAAACCGCCGAGACCACCGCCACCTCGTAGACGAAAGATTCGTGAAAAATTTGCAACCACACCAAGACCTAGTCCTCCTAAAAGACCCCAACGTACTTACAGTACTCTAACTACATCAACCAAATTAAAAGATGATTTATCATTGGAGGAAAGAATGCTAGAACAACAACAACAACAATCAGAATCTATGCCATACATTGAGATAGACTTGGAGGATCGCAAAGAATTACGCGACGATCGTGTTTTAAGTAAAATACAAGGAAGACCATTACCGGCACCCCCAAGACCACCCAGAGCACGAAAAGAACACAGTCAAGATCGTTACGAGGAATCTTTATCAGAAATCGTAAACGAAGCAACGACTGCTACTCAAACTGATCCTCTACCAGATGACATGATCATAGAAGAAGAAATAACTCAAGCTAAATTGATAGTAACTCCATCTTTGTCAGGTTCACAAGTTATGGTATCCACCGAACGAATACCTAGTCCTAGTCATTTCCCAACTAGTCCCGAATTTGGTCCCAACGATGACGAGAAATATCATCGTCACGTTGATACGCCGAGATCTTCCAGAGAACCTTCCCCATTCGCTGATTATCATGAAAGATTTCAAGAAAGGCGTTCACCAATGAGAACGCAATTTTCCGGGGAACCCCCACCGCCACCTACGATTCCTGAAACAACTGCATTAGATCTATCACAATTGCAATCACATTTACAATCCATCATAAGATCCGCCTTGATGACTGATGAAACTCTTAGAATAAGCAGCTTGGAAGTCGGTGATCTCAAGGTCGACCGACTTAGCGTGTCCCAATTAGAAACCAGTAAGTTGTTAGCTTCCGAAATAGATGCAATTTTGATATCAACTAGCGAACTGAAAAATTTACAAGAACCCAAAGAGGATTCATTTTCACCGGCTATTATCAAAGAACTGATGGCCATCAGAAGTCACTTGGAAAATGTGGCTAGCTCGCAAGCGAGAGAAGAAAGACGTTTGCTGGATCGAGAAAGTGATAGGGAGTCTACTTTAAAGGAAAGTACTAAAAAAGATGTGATTCAGGATAAACAAGAAGATAAAGTTTCAACTAAGGATCCATTGATTAAATCTACTGTGGATGATGACAAAGAAGATAGTAAAGATGCTAAAAAGAAAATCAAAATTGAAAGTACGGACAAAACGGAATCCCCGTTAAGTACTTTATCATTTGTTGAAAGTACAATACCAGATAACGAAACTGTCGATTCAATGACGACAAAACGTTTAGAAATGTTAGAAGGTAAACAATTATCAACGCAAATTCATCATTCCGATTCAAAGTCCAGTTTAACGGCTGAATTTGATTTAATGTCAGAACGTAGGCCAGAAATAGACGTGAGTGGTGATCACCAAGATAAACAAGTTCGAAGTAAAGAAGAAGAAGAAGATATAAGAAGTGAGATTAGTCGGAAATCTAGATCACGTTCGTCCTCGCCAACATCTGAACGAATTAGGCCAGTACGTCAAACGGCTTCGCCAATACGATCATTGCCACCTGTTATTTCGGTAACTCCAGATACACCTGACATAACTTCACCTTATAACGTTTCTAACGTAACACAAGCGCAACATGCTGTTATTTCATATTCCGAGGATCCAGATAGATCTTCTGATAATCAGGAAGCCCCAAGAGAAACGTCCCAATCACCGATAGCGCCCAATTTGTCTAGCGGTGTTACGCACTTCATCGCTTTTCCAACTTCACAAATTCCAGAAGAATTTTTATCCTTGGTCAGATCATCCCCGTCCACTTCTACTAGGGTGATCGAATCCGAATTAAGCATTCGCGAATCCTCGCGACAACTTCTTAGAGCTATACGTATCGTTTGTGCCAAACTTATTCGAGATTTCGCGTCACATTTGGTCTCGAGAGTTGGTGCAGAAGACGCGACTGGAAAAATTCGAGAACTTGAATTGGCATTGTGTGCCTTATTACTTGTGATCGCGATCTTATTGATCGTATATTTCAGTAATTCTCGAACAATAATGCATCATCATCATTGGGATTATTTCAATCCTCCGCAATAATTGTTATAATGATGGTTGTAATGAAATCTTTTTTCATAATTCTCGTCCCTTTTTGACAAACTTATGAACCCGTTATGCAATTCTACGCACAATTGCACAATAACAATTTGATTCGACATAACCTATATCACACTTTGTACAATTAAGTTTATTTTATATATAATGATATTGTATTATTATTATTATATGAGGGGAAAAAAAAATACAACGATGAAGAAGATACGACGATTATATCATAGTGATTAAATAATATAAATAACTTTATACGATTACGAAGAAAAGTTTTACAAAGGTGCCAAAATATATATCAAATTAATATTATTATTGGATTTATATTTAATATATGGCTTTATTTATTTAAAATTAATTACTCGCAATGTTAAAGGGAGATCTTATTGACTCTCGTTTGATATTTGTAGTTATATTTAGAAATATATCAAATATTAAAAAATAATTGTGCAATATATACAGTTTCAGAGTATTTTTTTTTTTCTTCATTCTCATTTTTTTTGGATACACATAACATATATGAGCAGTTTATTTTGTAAATGGCCTAATTCCATTTATATTTGTGTTTTAATGCAATTAAAAATATATTTACAGGATACTAATGAGTCATACTGCTTAAGTGTATCTAAGGGTGTTCAATTTCTTTCCAAAAATAGAGTTAGGTCACTTTCAAAACAAACTTTTTCATCGTTTCATTAATCAGCAAACATTCGTATTACAAAATTTGAATGAGTTTTCATATATTAGAAACAAATTGCTTTAGAATAAAAAGATCATGTAAAAATGTAAACTATTACGGTTGCTAACTTGACTTTTTTGAAAAATAGAGTTAGGTCACTTTCAAAATAAACTTTTTCATGGTTTCATTAATCAGCAAACTTTCGTGTTACAAAATTTGAATAATTTTTAATATTTTAGTAACAAATTACTTCAGAATGAAAAGATCATGTAAAAATGT